AGGCTGAGGCGGAAGGATCGCTGGAGCCCAGCAGGTGGAGGTTGCGGTGGCCGGGAGCGGACACTGCACTCCAGTCTGGGCGACAGAGTGAGACTCCACCTCAAAAAAAAAAAATATATAGACTTCCACTGGGCAGTAAGATTTTGAAGACAACTGAGATCATTTTTGAGAAAAAAGATACCAACCTCAGAAGGAAATGTTATTACTGCTAAGAAATAATAAATGTATTTCCTTTGCTTTTTCTTTTTTTCTTAAGTAGGAGTATCACTCTGTCACCCAGGCTGGTGTACAGTGGCATGCTCATGACCACTGCAGCCTCAACCTGTGGGGCTCAGATCCTTCTGCCTCAGTCTTCCAAGTAGCTGGAACTGCAGGCGTGCGTCACCACACCTGTCTAATTTTTTTATTTATTATAGAGATGAAGTTGCCGAGGCTCGTCTCAAACCCCTGGACTGGCAATCCTCTCGCCTCCACCTCCCAAAGTGCTAGGATTACAGGTGTGAGCCATCGTACCCAGCTCTCCTTTGCTTTTTCTAAAGTACCTAGGTTTCTCTTTATATATTAATTACACAAAAGCTCTTCATTTGCTAGTTTTCATAAGAGTAAGGTGAAATACTCACCACTCTCTCCAGAATGACATCATTGGTATCAACTAGTAAGTCAAACTTGTCCTCCAACTCAGTCACTTTACTTCGATCCTTAATGTTGCTGCGACACCCGTGGTACTGCATTACCCTGCTCATGCTAAGGACAAAGAATGCTAAAGTTAGCTTGCAGATTAATTTCATTTGTTTACATTTTGTGAGGGAGTGCTCAAATGGTTTGGCTCAGATTTTTTTTTTTTTGAGTCGGAGTCTCACTCTGTCACCCAGGCTGGAGTGCAATGGTATACTCATGGCCACGGCAGCCTCGACCTGCTGGACGCAGGTGATCCTTCTGCCTCAGCCTTCCAAGTAACTGGAACTATAGGCGTGCACTCCCACACCCTAATTTTTTGATTTACTGTAGAGACGAGGTCTTGCCAAGTTACCCAGGCTGGTCTTGAACCCCTGGGCTCAGGCAATCCTCTCACTGCAGCCTCCCAAAGTGCTGGAATTACAGGCATGAGCCACCATGCCTGGCTGGCTCAGACTTTTACCAATACATTTTCTTTTTTTCCTGAGACAGGGCCTCACTCTGTCACCCAAGTTGAAGTTCAGTGGTATAATCACAGCTCACTGAAGCCTCAAAGTCCTGGGTACAAGCAATCTTCCATTTCAGCCTCCTGAGTAGCTGGTACTACAAGCATGCACTACCACGCCTGGCTAATTTTTTAATTTTAATTTTTGTAGAGACTGGCTCTTGCTATGCTGCCCAGGCTGGTCTTGAACTCCTAGCTTCAAGCATTCCTCCTGCCTCAGCCTCCCAAAGTGCTGGGATTATAGGTGTGAATAACTTGCCTTGCCCCAGTGTTTTCTGATCAAACTAATAAAGTATACAACCTTTAAAAAAGCAATGCTAGTCTGCAACTATGGACAATTCACTAAGTCACTCTATGACTCACTCTGTTAATTGAAAAAATTACCTAAAACTTCCTTGAAATTCTAAAAAATACAAGATACTATGTAAATATTGCATGTGGATTCTTTAACATAAGAGTTTCTCTAAGTCTGTCATGCAATAGTTAAAAAGTAATGTTTTTATATTATCTGTCCTAATACACTTATTAGACAGTTAATACTTGTGACTCTGCAAGTTATGTGAGACAATCTTGGGTCTAAGTTTTCAAATTCCATATTAATTCAAAAAGACTTGTTGCCTACATGTACAAAAATCATAATATATTTTTAAAAAATTAAACTAAGATGGGCTCGGTGGCTCAGCCTATAATCCCGCGCCTTTGGGAGGCTGAGGTGAGTGGAT